GCTAGATGTTGTAGTTCAGTGTGCTTCATTAAAAAAAAAAAGCCACCAATTTTATTATGGAAAGTTTCAAACATATTCAGAAGTAGACAGAACAGTATAAAGAACCACACATACCCGCTGCCCAGCTCCCAGCGTTGTCAACTCATACCTAGTCCTGTTTTATTTATACTCTGCTCCGCTCCTCCTCTCCCCCCATATTATGTTAAGCAAATCTCAGACATCATGTCATTTATCTATACTTACTCTTGCTTTGGTTTTAAAAAAAACTTTTTGTTTTGAAATATTTTTAGACACAAGAAGTTATAAAAATATACAGAGGGCTCCCACGTACCCTTTAGCTTCTCCCAGTGGTAATATCCTGTATATCCACAGCACATAATCAAGACCAAGGAATTGCTGTTGCTACTTTGTTCTTCTTAAAGACCGCATTATGAGGCATCATGTGGTGTTTGGATCATTGTTGTGCTCATTTAGGATTTAATTTTTTATGTGGTTTTATCATTAAGTGAATAAAACTTGGACGAGGTTGAGGATTAACTATTTTGAAATGACATGTCCTGAAGAGGAATGAGTACTTTTTGACTGTGGTCTCTTTTTCTTCCAGTCGATCATACCAGAGTTGTCCTCCATGATGGTGATCCCAATGAGCCTGTTTCAGATTACATCAATGCAAATATTATCATGGTAATCTTTGCTTTCTGCCATGTTTTCTGACCAGGCATTGCTAGCCATCTTTTGTGTTTTGTATTTCTTGTGACCTGAAAGCAACTTTCCAATGATTAAAGGAATTTCTTCCTAAATTTCTAGCCTGAGTTTGAAACCAAATGCAACAATTCAAAGCCCAAAAAGAGTTACATTGCCACACAAGGCTGCCTGCAAAACACGGTGAATGACTTCTGGCGGATGGTGTTTCAAGAAAACTCGCGAGTGATTGTCATGACGACGAAAGAAGTGGAGAGAGGAAAGGTACACTCCACGCTCTTCTGATGAACTGTGAAGTATCAGACATGTCAGGTTGACCATGTTAACAATTGAATAAACAAATTAGGCTTACTCTGACCCTCTGGAGGAAAGAGAGTAGAAGAAATGTGATTACAACAGGCTTTGGTGTAGTTTTCTTTATGTTCCTTCTGCTTGGGGTTCATGGAGCTTCTTGGATCTATGGGCTTTATAGATTTCTTCAAATTTGGAAATGTGTATTATTTCTTCAAACATGGGACACTAGTTACACGTATATTAGGTTGCTTGACGTTATCCTGCGGCCCATGGAGACTTTGCTCATTTTGCTTGGCTGTCTACCCCCTGCAAAACACGGTGAAT